CGGTTGTGGGTCGATTATGTAGACTACTCGGACAATGAATCACAATAACGTGGTTGAATGAACAAACCCACAAGGGCCGTGACGAGGATTCGAACCAGCGTCCGAGAGCATCCCAGACGCTGCCTTAATCGACTGAGCTACGACATGGTCAAAAGGAGTTGAAACCGAAGTTCTACTGAACTTACTGGATCCTGCAGCCTCTCCGAGGCACAAACCAGGGTTTTGCACAACTTCCCCCATGCACTCGAACTATGTCAATATTGACATAGCTCGAGTGTTCTCCCTCTTCGTTCCCTCTTCTGTTCTCCCTCTAACAATGTTCTCCCTCTTCGCCCTTACTTCATTACACACAGAAATCACAATTGAGTGATGCATCAAATGAACCTCGGCCCTTGTGGATTTGTGGTGCATCACGCAAGTGAGTTCTGTGTGTAACGTTGTTGAAGATATGATGACACAATCAACATATCAGAAGATGGAGAAACGACGACGTTTGTCCATCTTGGACCGTTATCAAGTTGTATGTAAGGGAGAGAGAGAGAGATTGCTGAAGATTAAGCCACTCAAGATGTGGCACGAGCATGAATAGCCCGTAAAGAGAGTGAGGAAGGCACGGGTAATAAATAAGGAAAGAGTGAGGAGAGAAGCTGGAAAAAGTGAGGTGAGAAGCAGGTAAGAGAAAAAGGAAATTCCTAGAAGGTATGAGTGAGGCGAAAGGTAAGAAAGGATGAAAGGTGCGAATATGAGTCCCTCCCCATATGAGTGACTTCCTGTTAATGGTTTCCTCATCAGTAACTGGCACACGTATCACAGTGTAGGCCCTCCGTATTGCAGTGGCTCTCCGCCTTGCTGCCCAATCCATACAGAATATGCATATATTCGCAAACTGGCGGAGGCTGAGAGGTATGCTCATCGTGGCCTCCTCTGACAAAACACAGACAGCAGTCACCCAAGGCACAGTGAAGCTAACGATATCTTTAAGAAGAGTCTTACCACAGCTGGATGTCCAGCAGAAAGAGAACTGTGTCACCTAATGTCCCGTAACTCAGCCAGTCTTACTGGTTGCCCACATGGAATTCCAACGCGTCCCTGGAAGAGTTGGTACTCACGTAGTTGTGTGGGACTATATGTGAGTATCAACCTCAGCTAACACCTACACTATCTTGAGGTTATCTTGAGATGATTTCGGGGCTTAGCGTCCCCGCGGCCCGGTCCTCGACCAGGCCTCCTTTTTGTTACACCCTCCCCCCCCCAGAAAGCAGCCCGTAGCAGCTGTCTAACTCCCAGGTACCTGTTTACTGCTAGGTAACAGGGGCATCAGGGTGAAGCATTTTGCCCATTTGTCTCTGCCTCCACCGGGGATCGAACCTGGACTCTCAGCACTATGAATCCGAAGCGCTGTCCACTCAGCAATCAGGCGCCCCTCACCAACACTAACTTTAGTGTTGCACATCGAGGTGGTGCTGCCACCCTCAGGAAATCAACGAAGTCCCATAAGTACAGGAAACTGTACTTATGGGCTTCGCGATTAACCTTTACCGGGTACGCTGGGGCGCATCCGATCCTCCGATCGTCGTCGCCCCTAAATCAACAACAATAACAACGTCCCGTTCAACCTTGACAACGTGCACAGGTCAGGACGCCTGCTCAGTCCTCCTCCAGGACCGACTTACTTATGTACAACAATGTTCGTTGGTTGAGTAGAGTCTGTCCACAAGAACTTCATGGTGCGGGCAGTTAAGAGTGAAGGGTCCTCTACCTCCCCCGGATGACTGCACGAGTGTTGGTGTTGGGAGACGCGTCACCCAACGTCAAGTGACTATATCTGGAGCATGAAACGTGTTGTTGATGTTTTCAGTTGTTTTGTTCTTAAACGTTTGTATGGAGGTCGTCTATTTTTTTGTTACGCATTAAAACAAAATTTTTAAGAGTTATCTGATGTTATGTGAATTTGTAGATTAATGTATTTTTAACATAATACTGCATATTATGGTTCCAGAAATAGTCTGCATGTAAGTTGGCAAGTGAATTACCCTTGTCTTAAACAGAATTTATTCTAAATTGTATTGTACTAGATTATTATAGTATAAATCATCATCATATCATCTCGAATGATTTGCTTAGTGTAGGTAATGCATGCATGACTGTAAAGCATGCGTCCAGTTGGGTGGGTGTGGAGCAAGACTAGTAACTGTGTGACTCACCATAGATGTAAAGTGCCTTGTATAGTGACTGTTGTGAGCCTCTTGTTGAATTACTTGTGATACAAAAGATTATCGATGTGTATATGTATTTGTGTAAATATATATGTACATGTATATGTAACCTTAACAATTGTGTAACTAGCTTCAAAAGGGTTCAAATTGTGTAGCTAACTTCAATTGCGTAACTAGCTTCAAAGTTCTAAACGAACTATGAGGGTTCCTAAACCCATTATGTGCCTCTGTAACCCTTTCTACCACCGCCCACAGGGTGGGTATGGGGCGTATAATAAAGAAAGAAATTGAATTGAATCGAATAATTGTATCATAGCCTCATAAACAGAGTTTACGCTTGCCATGGTTGTGCCCGGTCGTTGGTGGCGATTATTGCGAGGTCTTGCGGCTGTGCCAGCAGGTAGGATGGGGCTGCCTTACCTCCTGTTCAGCATGCTTCGACGATTGGAATGGGGTTTGCTGGAAAGGGGGAATACCCGATGGTGGAGTTGGTGTTGGTGGACCTCTTGCGAGTGGATGTGACTGACATCTGTGGTGTGCAGGTTATCTCTGGTCACTGAGCGGTGATTCAGTTCAGTTCTTCGGCTATCTTCCGGGATCTTGTCGACCACTATGACGGACGTTCCTTCCGGTTACCTGGGGATGTTGAGTCTGTGACCGTTTCGGACCAGAGCGGCTCGTCCATGTATATGGCCGTTTACGGCATGCCGTTCGAGTTTCCAGAAGAACTGTTGCGGCGATACTTCAGCCGGTTTGGGCGTGTGTTGCACATCCAAATGAACATCATCTCCTCTGGCAGGTTGCGAGGTGGACCGAATTGGACCAGGACTTTAACCATGTGCCTTAAGACTCTGATCCCGTCCTCCGTTGTGCTCATGAGCTTTTACGTCAGGATCTTGTACGCTGGCCAGCCCCGTACGTGCTTCCGGTGCGGTCTTTCTGGGCACCTGGCTGAGGGGTTGCTGTGCTGGCAGTGTGGGCCATGGGAGAAGGACTTAATTCCCCCCTCTGGAGGTTATCTTGAGGTTATCTTGAGATGATTTCGGGGCTTTTTTAGTGTCCCCGCGGCCCGGTCCTCGACCAGGCCTCCACCCCCAGGGAGCAGCCCGTGACAGCTGACTAACTCCCAGGTACCTATTTACTGCTAGGTAACAGGGGCATTCAGGGTGAAAGAAACTTTGCCCATTTGTTTCTGCCTCGTGCGGGAATCGAACCCGCGCCACAGAATTACGAGTCCTGCGCGCTATCCACCAGGCTACGAGCCCCGAGGTCCCAGAGATTTCTGCATGTATTGCCGTGGATGGTGTGCCTACGATTTTGGATGGTGTTGGGAGTGTGTTGGATGCTGGACCGGCGTCTGCTGCCCCCCTGGTTGGTGGTGGGGGCGTCGAGGAGGTGGTGCATGTAGTCCCTTCCATGCCCCCTCCTCCAGCTGTTGTGCCTGTGGTTCCAGAGGCATTGTTTTCCGCGGTGGATTGTGGCAGGGCGATGCCTGGTGCTGGGGAATTATGTGCGGTGAGTGTCCCTGTGGAGATTCACGCGGAGCGGTGTGTGGTCCGGTGCCTCCGGTGGTCGAAGCGGCGGCTGTGTTACGTGACTGTGTGTTGCATGACCGTGCGCAGCCTCCCCGCGGTTCTGCTGGAGCTCCTTCAGGGGAGGTCGACAGTTCCGATGATTTGTATCCAGTTCCAAAGCGTACGAGGCAGGCTCTCAGTTCGTCTTCCCCTGGTCATGCCTCTTGGGCGGACGTGGAGGACTTTGAGAGTTCACCGTCTTCGGAGGATGCTGTTGTGGATGATGCTGGCGGTGTGCCTGGGGCTCCAGTGGCACTTGGTGATGATGTATCAGGTGTGGTGGCGGCTGTCCCCGGGACGGCCATTCCCAAATGAATTATCCCTGTGGTGGAGACGGTTCCTGGTGTGGATGCTGTGTTGCCTACTTCTGCTTTTCCCCCGGTGTCCCCTGCGTCCCCGGTTGCTGGTTCCCCGGGTTGAGGGGTTGTTGTCCCGGTTGAGGTGGAGGGTGCGGGGTGGGAGTTAGTTCTAGTTTTGAAAAAGGTCTCTGTTCAGTTGCCCCACGTGTCCCAGCTCTCCATGCAGCCGCCCACAATGCTTTGGCCACCTGTGCCCTTTCTCTCTGTGCAGCCGCCAATTGTGCTGAAGTCTTCCGTGCTACAGCCGGTTGTGCCCCAGCCCCCTGTGCAGTCGCCCCCTGTGCAGTCGCCCCCTGTACTGTAGTCTTCCGAGACGCCTGTGCTCCGGTCTTCGTGCATCTGGTTTAGGTGTTCTTGTTCATTATTCATTTCTTTCCTTTCGGTTCTCTTTGACGTTCGTGGCAGTGGTTCTAGAGTTCTCTAGAGTTGCTGGTCGCTGATCAGGTACAATGCCTTGTGGATGTAGCACCTAGGTAGTCAAATACCGAGGTGACAAGGTGTTGAATTAGTGAGGTTGCAGTCGGAACTCTGGGGGGACTCTAGAAATAGTTAATTAAGGGCGGGATAATGGACTATAGAGATCCGTTTTCTTCCCGACCACTGTTACAGGATCACCCCCATACATTCTCCCCCCTTCTCTCCCGAAAATACAATTAGGTGAGTACAATTAGGTGAGTAACAGTTGATGGGTGTTCGAATGTTTCCTCTGTCATTCCATCATTTTAAATGACACAGTCTATGGGTGTTCGAATATAACTGTCCTCATTCACTCTGTCCATAACAGCTATAATGATTGTTCCGTTGCCAACTTGGGGTTCTAATTACGCTTTGAGAAATAAAAGGATCTCACAAACGCCGTTTCAGGCCGTATATTATGCATGAAAATATAGTAAAACTCATAATTATACATAATAGAAATAGTACTCATATGTATATTACACATGAATATCTGAGCTTCTGGGATACATGGTGATATTGGCTGTAATGGATAAAATGAGAATTCACCAAACCCGTTTAGGGCCATGCAAATAATTTTTAAACAGCAAATACAGTTATTGTATCTTCATAATACAGTTATTGTATCTTCATATACAAATAGAGGAGACAAGGGTATTGATACTTGATATTTGTGTGTGTGTGTGTGTGTGTGTGTGTGTGTGTGTGTGTGTGTGTGTCGTCAACCATGATATGGTTTCATCAGCTCAAATTCAAGCAAAATTTACACTTAAGACAGGTTCCAGTTTCAAGTTAACAGGCACTTCCTCTGAGTGACTCCTTGGTGGTGTTGTTGTTGATGTTATTCGTGTTATTGTTGTTGTTGTTGTTGTCCAATCCCTTAAATCTACCTCTGGTTATTCAGTCCCTCTTATCTAATCTGATTATTCATCCCCTGTAATCTACTTCTGGTTATTCAGCTTTTGGCCCCAACAATACCACCCCACGTTCAGTGTTGCGCTCCTGTGATAATTTCTCTGACGACTTCTCTGATGACTTCTTTGATGACTTCCCTGACTCCCCTGGCGACTCCTCTGACGACTCCTCTGACGACTCCTCTGATGACTCCTCTGATGACTCCTCTGACGACTCCTCTGATGACTTCTCTGACTCCTCGGACGAGCTAGCCTCCCCAGATGGGTTCTTTAATGGTTCCTGTACAGTTTTCTCTCCAGGTTTTCTGAAATAGAAAATTCTATAGAATACGAACGTGGCACGAATGCTACGGAGAACACGATCACTAGGTAAATGGAACATATATATATATATATATATATATATATATATATATATATATATATATATATATATATATATATATATATATATATATATATATATATATATATATATATATATATATACGTTTGCGTAGGGAAGGGAATGGCGTTATCAGAAGAAAGCGCCAAGCCATCACGGCTATATAGCACTTGGAAGAGGGTCAGGATAAGGATTTGGGATGGGACGGGGGGAAGGAATGATGCCCAACCACTTGGATGGTCGGGAATTGAACGCCGATCTGCATGAAGGGAGACCGTCGCTCTACCGTCCAGCTAGGGAGAGTTAAGCTACTTTCGGAAGACTGACCGAGTTCGCACACGCAAGTGAAGTTTTACAACTTTAGAACACTTTCCCACCAGGAGACTTGAACCCTAGCCAGCACAGAAGCCTCACAGCAACTGACATAACAGGTACGCCTTTAACCCACTGCACCAAACTCAGACCCCTAACAGAGATGGTAATTTTGGGGTATTTAAACACCCCAAAGATCACCACCTCCCAAAGGCAACAAGAGCTAGTACTCACTTAATTGTGCTTGCGGGGGTTGAGCTTTGTCTCTTTGGTCCCGACTTTGTCTCTTTGGTTCTGAAAGACCATTAGTGAGGGGTTACTCACGTTCTTTCATCAAGTCCCCTGTTAATATGGGAGAACACTGTGTCTATGCTTAATGCACAACTTGCCTAAACACGCAAGTGAAGTTTTACAACTTTAGAACACTTCGTGAGGTTTAGTTCCCGTAGCCATTCCTCGTAGCTCATACCTCTCAGTTCCAGGACTAGTCTGGTGGCATACCTCTGAATCTTCTGTAACTTTGTCTTGTGTTTAACTAGGTATTGACTCCAGGCTGGAGCTGCATACTCCAGGATTGGTCTGACATAAATAATGAGAGAGGGGGGGGGAGGAAGGACAGAAATGAGGGGGAATCAAAGAGGCAAGAGGTACTGCCAGGGAGTACACTGACGGGCGCATGAGGTGCTGGTGGCAGCCCTGTTGTACAGGAAGCGTGTGTATATACACACACACACACACACACACACACACACACACACACACACACACACATACACACACACACACACACACACATTTGTCTATATTTAGTCAAGCATAAGACTAAACTGGAAAAGGTTCAAAGGTTTGCACCAGACTAGTACCCGAACTGAGGGGTATGAGCTACGAGGAAAGAGACTACGGGAATTAAACCTCACGTCACTGGGAGACAAGAGTTAGAGGGGGACATGATCACCACTTACAAGATTCTCAGAGGAATTGATAGGGTAGATAAAGACAGACTTTATAACACAAGGGGCACACGCACTAGGGGACACAGGTGGAAATTGAGTGCCCAAATGAGCCATAGAGACGTTAGAAAGAATTTTTTCAGTGTCAGAGTAGTAGACAAATGGAATGCATTAGGAAGTGATGTGGTGGAGGCAGACTCCATACACAGCTTCAAGTGTAGATATGATAGAGCCCAGTAGGCTCAGGAACCTATACATTAGTTGATTGACAGTTGAGAGGCGGGAACAAAGAGCCAGAACTCAACCCACGCAAGAACAATTAGGTAAGTACACACACACACACGCTCGCGCGCGCGCTTCAGCCTTGTCGAGACTCCCAGGTACCTATTTACTGCAAGGTGAACAGGTGGAAGCAAGGAAATGTGCCAAACTATTTCTGTCCCACCCGGGAATCGAACCGGGAATCCCCAATTATGAGTCGAGAACGAAGCCATCTGCACTACGAGCCCCTATATGATGTACTCGTTCATCAGTGACTACGGAGGGACGGGGGTAGACCTATCCCCACGCCCAGCCTCCTAGCCGCCTATACCTTGCGCACTAATCACGTCTGTGTATAACATGCCAGTAATTCAACACGCACAGTCTCCCAGTTTACACAACGAGGCCAAAATTAAGCTTTCCGTCCTGGTGCAATTGCGTCAGATGGTTTGGTGGTTATTAAGTGGTATGAGGCAAGTGGTGATTGTGGTGACGGGGGGGGGGGGGGGTAACTCGTCGCCACACGTGGTGACGGGTGTGTGTGTACTCACCTATTTGTGCTTGCAGGATCGGGCATTGACTCTTGGATCCCGCCTTTCCAGCCATTGATTGATTACAGCAATGACTCCTGTCCCATTTCCCTATCATACCTAATTTTAAAAGTATGAATAGAGTTTGCTTCCACAACCTGTTCCCCAAGTGCATTCCATTTTTCCACTACTCTCACGCTAAAAGAAAACTTCCTAACATCTCTGTGACTTATCTGAGTTTCCAGTTTCCACCCATGTCCCCTCGTTCTGTTACTATTACGTGTGAACATTTCATCTATTTCCACTTTGTTAATTCCCCTGAGTATTTTATATGTCCCTATCATATCTCCCCTCTCCCTTCTTTTCTCTAGTTTCGTAAGGTTCAGTTCCTTCAGACGCTCTACATATCCCATCTCTCGTAACTCTGGGACAAGCCTCGTCGCAAACCTCTGAACCTTCTCCAGTTTCCTTATGTGTTTCTTCAGGTGGGGGCTCCATGATGGTGCGGCATACTCTATGACTAGTCTCTCATGTGTATGTATATATGTATGTATGTATGTATGTATGTATGTATGTATGTATGTATGTATGTATGTATGTATGTATGTATGTATGTATGTATGTATGTATGTATGTATGTATGTATATTTTTAATCTGGTTAGGGAGTCATACATTTTACAAACGGGATAGTGCACCAGGAAAAACTCACCCTCTTCACTTCTTCAAGATTAAAACAAGAACGGGTTCCACAACGTGCAAAGAGTTGGTTTACCCATGCCTTCAATTCTTTATAGACATCCCTTAAACGGTTGCGACACCTCTATCTAATGGATCCCAGCGCATTGTGGTATACTCCATAATAAACTTGTAGATCAACTAGCCAAAGCGATGCACAACACGCCTCACATTACCCATCATCCAGTTCCTCATGTGGCACGTAAAGGAGCCTTCAAAGTTACCATCACCCAAGATTTTGTAATGAAATGGAACACGTCATGCTCACCTTTGTACTATGGGTCCATAAAAAAAGAAATGGGAAACTTGGAAACATGTCAGATGTAAAAGTAGAGAAGTTGATGTAACGATGACCAGATCAGAGCTGGGACACACCAAACTGGCAGCACACAGCTCTAAGTACAGGACAGATATTAACGAACTCTGCATCCACTGTCAGATGCCTAAAACAATCGAACACTGTATCTCCTTCACTGTTTCCGACATCATAGTGGCGAGTAAACTTCGAACAAGTATTTATCGCACTTAATATACCCTTTACCATCGATCATATATATTAGGAGAAGGTGACCTCTCGTTACATGAAAAATATCAAATAGTCAAAGAACTGGCTAATTATCTCCAGTCAACTAACTAACTGGGCCACACTTGACCCGTGTCACATTTATACCTGGCGCCACCAGCAGCCAAACACAGGCAACAACTGCCCCGTCGCAGCATCAACAACTGACGCAATATATACAACATGCGGTGCGGCAAGTCTCCCTCACACACACGCCTCTGTTTAGTCACTGCTCCTCTATCTACACCACAACACATCAAACACTTTTCAAACCTCGTTATTCTCAACATTGAGGCGTCTGCCAACATTTTGTACACGAGCCATCATCGGGAGGCTACCTACCTTGAGGCTACCTTGAGGTGCTTCCGGGGCTTAGTGTCCCCGCGGCCCGGTCGTCGACCAGGCCTCCTGGTTGCTGGACTGATCAACCAGGCTGTTAGACGCGGCTGCTCGCAGCCTGACGTATGAGTCACAGCCTGGTTGATCAGGTATCCTTTGGAGGTGCTTATCCAGTTCTCTCTTGAACACTGTGAGGGGTTTGCCAGTTATGCCCCTTATGTGTAGTGGAAGCGTGTTGAACAGTCTCGGGCCTCTGATGTTGATAGAGTTCTCTCTCAGAGTACCTGTTGCACCTTTGCTTTTCAACGGGGGTATTCTGCACATCCTGCCATGTCTTCTGGTCTCATGTGGTGTTATTTCTGTGTGCAGGTTTGGGACCAGCCCCTCAATTATTTTCCACGTGTAAATTAGTCGGTCCCAGTAATTTAGATGTTTTACTGAGTGGATTCTAGCAGTAAAGGATCTCTGCACGCTCTCTAGGTCAGCAATTTCTCCAGCTTTGAAAGGGGCTGTCATTGTGCAGCAGTACTCCACTCTAGAGAGCACAAGCGTTTTGAAAAGTATCATCATCGGTATAGCATCTCTAGTGTGAAAAGTTCTTGTTATCCAACCTGTCATTTTTCTTGCAGTTGTGACGGCTACTTTATTGTGTTCTTTAAAGGTAAGGTCTTCCGACATGAGTACACCCAGATCCTTTACATTGCCTTTTCGTTCTATGTTATAATTTGCCTGAGTTTTGTACGTGAACTGCTGGGAGGATAAACCTTGCATGCACACTGCACCTGTCATCAAGAAGAAGAAGAGAATTTACCTTCCGGAGATCTTTTGATACATGTCGTCGACAATATGGCTCTGGACGTGATGGATTTCGGGGGCGTCGTGGGCGGCGAGGGCGGGGTAGGGTAAGGAGGCTGCGTGGGCGGCCGCCATCACTGCCACCAGAACCAACAGAGCCACGCCCGTCCTGAAAGTCAGAGTAACTAGATATTTAAGTATAGGATTTGCTGAAAATTTGAACATTTTAGAACACATTTTTGTTTTATACGAGTGTAGAACAAGTAGAATGAAGAAAGTCAAGTGATATTATGCTGTGAGGCTTGAATCGTATAACCATTTATACGAGCAGAGAGGAGCGGGAAGGTTGACCTATTTTCAAGCAGCAGTTCACTGTGATTTGAGGCAGGCGTAATTAAAGGTTGTGTAACCCGAGCACACGAGTAGCTTCTCCTTAAGAGAAAGTCACTCAGAATGTTGTACTCTGGAACAGCATGATCCGTATTAGGCTCATGAGACACTCAGGTTAAGAGTCTAGACTCGTTAAGTTCTACCTGAGTTCCTGATACCAAAGTGTCTTTTTTTCGTGATCAAATTCATTACCTGTTGATTACCTTTGAGGTAGAGAGTCTAACAGACAGGAATAGGACGTACCCCAGTTTAATTTATGTGTTAAATAAATTCAAATATCCTTCCTTTTATAATTTTTAACTTGAAATGTATTCTGTCATACATCTATACCAAACTGTTTATGATAATTAAATAATCTACTGCGGCCCCTGTCTTACCAGTTATTTGCCCCCCGCCCCCCTTGCTTGCTGTTTGTACAGTAACTAAACTAGAAGAGTTAGTTATACTTGTTTAACTAAATTTCAAACAATCACCGAACACAAGGGTCTCCAATACCAATATTGCCACTGAGGCTTAAATGTGAACTACATATCAGGAGCAGTGTTCCCCCGAGGTCGCCAGTGAACAGCTTAACGGCATCAGTGACGGAGATTAAGAGGGAAGAGAGATAATCAGCAATTACTGGGTTATTATATTTGTTTAGCTTATGATGATTAACCCACAACTCAGAAGCTGGAGAAGCGACGACGTTTCGGTCCGTCCTGGACCATTATCGAGTCGTGAGACTGATGCTTTTTGACCGTAAAGACACTAATCTCACGTGGTTGAGTGGCTATAAGGGCACTTGTCACCTTGCTGAGTATCAGGGAAGGTGACAGTAAGGACACTCACCTCATCTTGCCAAGTATCAGGACCGGGGACTGTGCGGACGTAGGTTACAAGAGCGAGCGACTGCCTGGCGAAGGGTTGTCAGTCGCTGGACGAGAGGCTGTAATCTCCCGCTCGAAGGACCGTCACCCGCCGACTGACTGTTTGGTGTACCCTTCCTCTTGCTTAATACCCCGCCCGACACGTGACGACCCCCTCCCAGCCCATCACCCCACCCCTCCGAGCCCTCCAAGGTCCACACCCGTCCCTTCTAAACCCTCCAAGGCCCTTCCCAGCCCTCCCAGGCCAACACCCCGCCCCTCCAAGCCCTCCCAGGCCCACACCTGTCCCTTCTCAGCCCTCCTAGGCCCTCTCAGACCCATACCCGTCCCTTCCCAACTCTACCACTACCTCCCTCCCACACTATGCCACTCCCTTCCAACCTCCCCCATGCTTTTCCCTCCTTCCATACTGAATTAGCCTCAATAAGGTACAAATATTTCATATCAGTACAAACAACTAGGTACACTGAGTCCCTTAACACTCCCATGTGCATATATATATATATATATATATATATATATATATATATATATATATATATATATATATATATATATATATATATATATATATATATATATATATATATATATATATATATATATATATATATATATATATATATATATATATATATATATATAGTATATTTTTGGTAGCAGTCTTTCTTGTAAACATATGTTGTTGAATATGACCGAAAGGATAAGATTGATAATTCTAACACGAATCTTCTCAATATTTCTTATGTTCTTCTTCACTGTTGAGGGTAATTGATAAATTAACTCTTCAAAATTCATTCTTTTATTTCTGGTCTGACGCCTGAACGCCTTTCGCAATGTTTGCCATCCCAT